CCAGACCGCCTCGTAGCACGATTACTCGTAGTACGGGGTCTCGCTGCTCTTGGTCTGGCTGCTCCCCTTTGGCCTTCCTGGCATAGTTGCACCTTGTGGAACGAAGTTCCATCCAGTGTAGCCCGCGGGATCGTTGCAGCACTCAAGCCCGACCACCACGTCAAGGTGGCAGCTTTAGGTCGGGGAACTTTCCTATGATCTAATCCAATCGCTCTTTTTGACATCATTGCGCGAATGAAAAAAATAGGTTGGAAAGTAAAATCGAGCCAAACGGGACAGTTGCACTCCGTGACCTCTGAAAGGACGACGTGAAGTGGGCCTCTATATATCGATATTCTGTACAGCTCCACCTTCGAGGGAGAACTTCTGGTCGAGATTCATCTAAGTCGTCTACACTGTGGGGACGACGGCACTTATTCCATTCTGCTGACCACATCTACAATGTTTGCAAGTTTTTATGCCGAATGTGAAATCTAGTATATATTTTTCAATCAGAGGATAATCGGAAAAAGTTATTCGGAGTCTGACTTGAAAAAAAAACGGATTTTTATCATTCGATTCTCGTGGATTGACTTTCAGAAGCCTTGAAGTCCCATCTGTAATTGGTGCTAGATTGAATCAGCTGATAGTTCAGAAAGACAGATGGTATGCAAGAACATGGGATTCGGATATAGGTGACAGATACCTCCCTGTAGGTCTCGTCCTACACACCTGAACATCAATCGAGGCAATGCTACTTCCCATGGGGGACCTTACAACTCAGGGGGTTGTAAAACCCTGCTGGGCTGGGTGGCAGTAAAGCAGAAGACACTGTGTGCATTGCACTTGTACTATCCCATTTTTAAATCAAATAAAACCTACCACAAACGCCCGCATAAATTTGTTGCTCTGTATCTGAGTATCTAAGATTTGATTTTGCTCACAGTGGAATCGTCAATGATGTGTCCATTTCGTCCTACCACTGTTAATTTGGTCATCACTCATGACTGACAGGACCCCTTGCACACAAGTGAGTCAGGGGGCATAGAATGCAGTGCAATCAAATGTCAATTTTTAGCTACGAATATTGACAAGCTCTTAATATAGTTAATCCCATCACTCTTCTCAGCAGACTCTAATAAATAAACTGATGAAGCAAAACAATCCTGTGAATGTGACTAACACAGAAAAGCACCTTTTGATCCCGAGTTGCCAAATCCTCGGTAACCATCGTACCCACCAAGTAACGTTAATTTTAGACAATGATCTCTGTTTTTGGCTGGATCACGAGACCAGACGGAAGGTAAGTCCTTGTCAAGAAGCTGACGCAAATTTGTTCATGGTCTGCGTAGTGTGTAGCCATGACCAAACAAAAAATTCAGCAAGCTCATCTGCGAAAGAATGGACAGAGGATCTCGGGCGATTTCAGATTGACAGTACTTAGAGAAAACGAACAGCGAAGGGAAGTGACTGAAAAACTCCAAGTGTATAGCCTCTAGGGTGCACGTTGACAAAGGCAACTGAAGTCGATTACTCTGGAAGCGTGAGTGTAACGCGTGGCGTTGAATCTCAGCGATCTTCTGGGGATAGAAGAGCCTACCCTACCTCTGCTTGGTGTGGACGGTCACCAAGAAGACGGTAGGCCCAATCCAGTTGTTTTAATGAGTAGGCACAGATCTGCAAGAATTCCGTAAAACTCCAGTGAAGACGGTTTCTGTGTAGTGGCGCCACTTACAGGAGGGAGCTGCGGTACAATAAATCACCAAGAGGTGATTTATGATAGAACAGGTTCCAAATGTTTACTCATGAGTAATACCGTACACTATTAACCTGCAATACCTGTGAGGCATCACATTCTGCGGTTAAGCTAATAATCAACTTCGTATATATCAGTGAAGTATCTGAAGAAATTTGAGTGAAAAAAATCCAAGTACGCTGTTAAAGGACGAATGTATCAACTATCCTTCATCTTACAATCATATACACTCAAATACTTCATGTGTTACGCCCTAGAAAACCCCAGATCCTTAGAGGTCACCACTGTTTGCTCGCAGTATATTTTCTTGAGTGAAGTTTGCCGAAGAGTTTTCAGCAACCTTACAAGTAGTCTGTTGTATCATGAAATAAATTCTCCTTAATTACCGGCCTGTAGTGAAGCGGGATAATAACAAAGCTGACTGAACAAATGATCTAAAATTTCTGACATCTATGGTTTGATTGTTGGAAATTGGAGCTATCTTAATTGTATAATCTCTATCACAATAGAAATTTCGGGGGACGAATCAGTAAAAACAGCCAAGGCACGAGCCCTTGCTTAGTCCAAAGTTATTGGGAGGACTGAATGAGCTTCACCTGATAGTTTAGCTTTTTTCATGCTACGAACTCTCAGCTTCTTTTATCAAAATGCATGCTGTTTGTGTCTTCTAGTGACATGCAGCTGAGTTTTACTGATGTCAATGCCACCTGGTTCAGTGTCAACTGTTTTCCCCGATCATTCTTAGATTTCTCTTTACAGGAAGGATGTAACCGCTTCCGATTCCTATGAGTCATAAAAATCTATGGGCCGGCATGGAAGTCGGGACGACTGCGTTGAGTGATGTCTTAGGAGTCATCGAGGGAGCTGACTAATGATGCCAACATGTGCCAGTGTATAAAAGGACTCTCGTCCTCCTAATTCGGAGGTACTTGGGTGGCTTCGCCAATACGAACGTGAATGACATGACCGATCAGCAGCTGGCAGTGCAAACTGCAGATTGTGTCGACAGCATGCGCACAGGTTGAGGGTGCTGAACAGCGTGTATGATACCGGTCGCACTCCCGCTATCTAGCTCATTGAATAATCAGTTCACGTTTTCCTTTATTGAAAGTTGCAGCTACTCTTCTGTCGTACAGAGCCATCCGGCTTTCCTAAGAGAACTCATAGACAATAGAACAATTTTCATGGGTAAACTCATTACTCGCCTCTTAACCTAAAAGAGCGTAATTAAGGCATATTAGCAAGTGAATAATGTACCGTACGGTTGATCAGCTAATTACATGAATTAGAGGAAAACAAAGTTTATTTTATGGGAAAGTTTCCCCAAAGCATGCATTTGTGCTGCTTATCTGTTCTGGATACTGAGAGTTGATAAAATATTTTTGAAATGTCGACTGAGGAGGGGTTTATCACATCCCCGGGGGACAGTTGACACTTTACATCAAGTGTGTTCGCTGAGCGTGAAACTTACCGAGAAGCCAAATATCTCGGGTGAAGACCAATCGGCTCTTTAATTGCATTCAAAAGTGTCGTTTGTGGTACCCAAAGAGCCAAGAAAAACTGCAAGTCCTAACGATCTGTGACACAATAACTTGCATCCTCTCAGTAATGTTGTAAGTAGTAGGAGTGTAATTAAAATTTCATTGCGAAAGTGCTTAACCCCACCGTTGAACTAAACCACTTTAGAATGAAAGCCTAGTTTTATACTACGGCCGGCTCAACACCACCCCCCTCATCACATTCAGTAGTTTACTGGCCCCAGATATAAGGGTGTAAAAATGGGTGTCTCGTTGGTTGTCTAGTATTCCTTCCAAGTTGGACAACTCTGTCCTCGGGGCAACTGACACACTTGGTGAAATGAGATGAGTTTACTAACAATGAAATTAGTGAAGCACCAGAGTTGAAAGTATTGAATATATGTCAAAATTTCAGGCTGGTGTTTCAGCTGACGGAAAGAAGCATCAAACGAGATCTGTCACTGGGATTATCGTACGTAACTGTACGAACAATCGAGAGACAAGTGTTCGCTTGTTTAATTGTCGCTTTATATGACTGATCAATATCCGGTTGGGACGGCACAACACAAATGCGTATCTCCATATGCGTCGTCTATGCGACCAACGGTTGGCCAAGTTTTACTTCGCCTGTCGAATAGACCCTTAGTGACGCAGTGCCATGGCGCGGGAAAGGCTGCCTCCTGACGACTGTAGGGACGATCCCATTTATCGCAAGTCACATCCTGAAAACAAAAAGATCGAAGTTATTAGGTGGCACCTGAGTTTTGACCGAAGTTGAAACAAACCTCAGTGTGTCATCGATCATTTCAAGCGACCAAAACACCCAGCTTTCCCATATAATATGGGTGTTACAAGTAACTGACCCACGAACTCAACTTATCTGAAAACGCTGAGTCCTGTTTTTCTGAAAAGAGTTATCAATCAGTCGTCGAAAGTTCACTGAACTACTAGGAGCAGCGAAGTGGAGTGTAAAGGTTAAACCAAAACATGGTCTGACGTTTCTTGTTGAAATAAATAAATGCGTCAGAAAGACGTCAGTCACATTCAAGTGCATATGTTAATCAGTATGCAAGCATCGTGGGAATTCGTTCTTTAAGTATTAAGTCCTTAAAGTAAATTCCACGTACAAAAAGTCTGCTCAGGCAGTCCAGAAAATAAGAAAGCGGACCGAAAACACATTGTCGGCAAATATGTATGTTGCCCGTCCTAGAGGATACCTACGTTTCTAAATAAGGAATTGTTTGGTGTAAATACCACAGCACTAGTTGCTTCAATAATACCTGAATCCCCGGCTAAAATCAATCAGATTAGGGAGGCTGAAAAAGTATTTACCATACGGAATCAATTTTGTGCTATTATTAGCATGTCGCGCCATTGCAAAGAAAATACTTTTGGGAAAGTCTTTTCCAAGCCAACAATGGTCATATAACCAAAACTTTGCACTCCGCCGGTCACTCGCCTTCACTGGACTGCCAACTAAATACATCTTAGCGAAATACATTCATTTGCAAACTAATTTGGTTTTGCGAGAGACTCATTTGGAACACAGCTGAATCTCTCGGTTTTGATGTTTCCAGACAACTGAATGTGCTGCACCAGACTGTCTCATGTTTTATTTGCTACGATATTCGAGATATCACGATACATATATATTTTTGTGATGTACTACTCATAAGGTTACTGGAAACTCCTCGAGGAATTTTCAGCATTACATAAATAGATCTTACTGTAAGAACGGTTAGGCCACCTGTGGCTGCATGAATGCAATCCAAAAAAACATGTTCGAAGTGGATCCATTCTAGTGAATTTACGGATCGAATGACCGACTGGTTTGAAACGCATCTCTTCAATCCCATGTGTGAATGTCCACGGAGAGACAAGGGCTGCTTAATGAAACGGTTGTACATTTTTTCTCAATGTATGCATAACCCACAGATGAACTAGGGAGTTCTTAGTAAGGAACCGGAGACACTGTATACGTAGCATCTTGATCACCAAAATATTTGAGTTTTTACACTTCACATGAAAAGATGATAAAAAACACTCGTCAAAACAGTCTCAGGTAATTTGGGATTTTCGGAGCAAACTCTCAGTCAGACCAGGTGCCACTAAGTTGTTTGCAGCGTAGAAATTGGGCCGAGGTCAAGACAGTCGAATGATATATCAATTAGTCGTTCTGCTGATTAATTCAATATCGATTTGCAATGACCAGGCCTTTATAAAGGGTTTATGAACTGAAACGGGCTTGAATTGTCCAACCAATAATACACTGTTCTTCGCGGTGGAACCAATCATCAACCATAGGCGATTAGATCGACATTGACTAGACTCACTTCCACTGTATGTGGTGCAAGCTTCAGTGGGTTACAATCGATCGGCCATTCACCTCGAGCGACCTTCTCGATCTCTTGTTTGATAAGAATCAGTGCATCGCACAACCGGTCACATTCTGCCCGCGACTCACACTCAGTCGGTTCAATCATCAAGCTGGAGGGGACGGGCCAGGACATGGTTGGTCCATGAAATCCTAAAGGGATAAAGTGGAACACAATATTTCATATGCGTAATTCAAGAAATATAAGCTACTCTTTCATAACGAACGTCGGATTGAGACGACCAGATAGCAGCGAAACCGAATAGGCAATTAAAGTACCTCTGTTGATGCCATCCTGACTAGTGTGGAAACATGAAACTTATGGCAAAAAGCTTCGCAGCAAGTAGCTGAATCAATGTACACTTTAGTACGGTGTAAACCGATGCTGAATTCAATATGCGTATATGAAGCCGAGGATAAGTAACTGGCATTCCGTCTTAGAAGAGATTGGCCGTACCTAAGGCCAGATACAAACGAATTACGTAAAGTACGACGGATTTTAGTGAATCCTGTGCTGGTGATGACCGGCGAGGGAGACGCGGTATCCTGAAGAAACAGTTATGCAGTGATCCGCATATTTCCAAGATTTGTGCATTCCAGCTTGGACAATAAGGTCTACTCATGCATTCTACAATAAATTCGACAGATTGCTGGCCTAATGCATTTACCCTGATTTTTTTCGCCTCAATTCTAACGTATCAAGGTTGAGTCCAGTGAGATCATGCCATAACATCTAGATTGTTGAAAGCTGCAAAAATTAGGAAGTTGCATGAAACTCAAAGTTTGGCCTTCATATTTCTTCCAAGGTACTTCGAAGTTACCAGTGAATATGCTGGTTATAAAGACAGTCTACGACAGGATCATTTCTGCTGGTTAGCAACGCTGCTTAAGCTTACTTAGCTACATTTCAGTAGCTCCTCCATCACATCGCGATTCGCTTCAATTATTCATAGGCAATCCACGTTTACTAACAAATGAGAAGGAAATAGTACACCCGTCACGTGATAAGTTTGAGTGTGCAACGTATGAGGCAAGCGTGTGTGCGTGGGTTCAAGTGCCAGAGGGGAGAAATGCGTTCCGTTCCCTTCTAACTGGATCCATGATCATGGCTGAGGGATGCTAGCCGTCTTCGTCATATATTGAATCTTATCCAGGCCCGACGCCTTGGTATAGACGGATATAAGGATTTTACACAACGTTTGCGACGGAACACGCAAATGATTCGATGATGGTTGCAAAACGGGCCCATAAAGAGTTCGATGCACGCGAAGACAAAATCAACCAGTGTGGATTCTGAAACTATTCAACTGCACAGTTAGTTAGGGCTGCCTAATTCAAATGCAGAAAACGGGAGGAAAAGTGTACTTTATAACTTCTGCTCTTTCATTAAAACGCTTCTGCATTCCCACATTCTCCATTCTAAGTTTCAAATTTCCACTGACCCCACATTCACCAAACTCGAGCAACGACGAATGTGACAAACCGATAAGATTGAAGCCTGAACGTGGACAAGATCGGCAAAGTAAACTAGGTACGTCTCCCAGGCGTCACAAACGGTCGGAGAACAAGACACCGCAAAACATAAAACAACCCTGTCTAGATTGGTCTATTGGGGGACGCGAGATATGAGAAAACCCAAGGGTTCAATTCAAACAGTGGTCCTGACATCCCGCTCCCTTCACACGCAAATGTCTCGCATTGTGGTCTGACGATTTTAACCAGTTAACCAGTTTGGAGAGACTTTTGTGGGTATTCGGTCACTGTTACAAAACCATTCAGGGCTTCGCGTCCCAACCACAACAACCCATAAGTTGTCAAAGTTGTGCAGACATAACACTGGATCTGCTCACCACTGTTGCACCTCATCTGATTAAATCGCGTACTTCGCTGACATCTAGTGTTAACGAGGCGGTGATATCAGTTCACGAAAAGTACCCTACGCGTCCGTTCGCTATTCGAGGTCTACGAGGAGCTTGGTGTAACAGCATAAATGCTGTACTGGCTGTGTCCACGTGCAAGAAGCTTCTTAAAAGAATTACGCACACAATGGTACACTTATCCAGCACATCTGTCTTGGTTGCGTTTCGCGACCGGGTGTAAATGTTCGAAGTGCAATAAACGTATTGCCATGATACGGTGACTATCAGCTGTCAGTCAACAGACATCTATGATTGGTCCGTATAAGGGCGGTGTATGGGCATGTGTGTATATCGCACTGGGATAATAAATTGCGATTCGTTTTGGGGGAATAGGAGCGGTTTGATGGTGACTGAGTACATCCCGGATATACAATGTTGCCGGATTTCATTCGTTGTTATTCTATTTCACTTGATTTCAGTCATACATCCACTTAAGAGAGAGCGCAAATGAAAGGTTTTTGAATGGATACCCGTTTTCATCACCCTGAGTGGGCAACCAAAGCCGTGTTTTCGGAAAGTGGATGGCATATTCACAACGGAAACATTTCCACCTAGGTCACCACGCCTCTCCCTCGTTGAAAGCGCTTGTTCTCGAGAGCAGTTGGAGTGCGAAATTTGGGTTTGACCCAACTGTTGCACTTTATTTGGGAACATTCTCTTTGATGTTACTCGGTGCAGTGCGGGAAAAAGCATCCGAATCAACGAAATACACTCATTTGCCTTCAATCTTGTCGGCTTTTCAAATTCGTCGTTGCACTGTTGCGCAAGTTTGGTGAATGTGGGGTCAATAAAAACTTGAAATTTAGAATGAAGAAAGGAATATCTGTTACCTGAAATTCAGAAGGTATAGTACGAATGGTTCAATCAATAATTACCTCAGTAGATGTGTTAATCAAGAAACAGCCTAGCCATTTCAGCTTGATTGCGCGGGAATTCCTAATTAAAAAGCTTTACTTACCGCCGGTCATTTTATATCATTTGAGAAAGCACCTCAAAACGTGCTGACTTCAGTTCGCTGAATAAGCTGTTGAAAACCATCATTGATAAGTGCGCGATCATTCTCTGTGTCCAGGTATTCTCGAGAACTCAAGCTGCACTCTTTCAGTTTTGGTTTAGACACCTCAACCCACATCGAATAGTGCTGTCTGCAGAAGGTACATCATTGTGTGAGTTGGACTGAGTGTGTCGAAGCCTATCCGTTGCAACCGCCGCGGATGGGTATACACAAGTGACCCTTACTTTTGGCGTTGCTGACAGATATTATATGAGACGCTTAGATGCTTGACATCTGTCTATCTTAGGTCACCAATAATACCTTTTGGTCATTCAGGGATTATGGCACGCCTGTTTCTGAGTACCTTCTGCGCGCATCGGTATCGTGTCAGAACAGTTTTGTTATGTCAGCCAACTCGGACATTTTGGCAATCCTGTTTGTATGGTGTTTCACTGGTACCCAGAAGAGTGTTCAACGGGACGTTAGCCAGAGGTTTTAGGGAAATCTCTCTCTCCAACGTAGGTTGGAAAAGCATTCGTTGAAGAAGCACCCAGCACACGCACGTTATGTTTTCCTACGACTGGAATACGTCCACTGATGTACGTGCGTAGTCTTGATTTGCGTGCAATTAAACTCGATAGGATTTTCGCGGTTGCTGCGCCCTAATTAGGATACCAGGTGCACCAGTCTCTATCTGCATAAGCACTGTTTGTCCTCTGATCGCTAGATTTATCCTAAACAGTGCTTGTCCAGTGCAAGTGTCGTCTGACGCCGTCGAATTATGTTAAAGACAAAAGTCCTGTTGGGTTGCTGAACACTTTTCACTTGTGAAAAGCACCTGTTTCGTGGAGTTGCGCTTTCGTTCTGCAGACACGATCGAAGTGATTAATAGCATAGGCCCACTTGCAAATGCAGTCATTCGCGAGAAAAATTGTCTTCCGCGGTGGTGGCATGCAAACGAGTGGGTTGTCTCTCGGGTAGACTTCCGATTAATGGTTGACGATTAGCTTCCCCCACGTTCTTCAAGCACCTTACAGTACTGCACACCTTATCCAAATTCAGAGTTCTTCCATATTTCGACGATGAAATTTCACGGGCCTTCACGCTGTGCACCCTCGTAGTCAGACACTGAGTCGCATTTCCTTCTCAGATTTCCATGGTGCAAGAGTTTTTAATTGTCACACTGAGAGAACCTGCTTGATTCTCGCAACGAAATAATCTACATCTAGCAAATTTGGGAAAACAGGATGGAGATGTGTATGTTTTCTCGTGCACTAAGAAGAGGGAGAACGCTGGAGACAGTGGTTTCATCAGGACAGCTCTTCGTTTACAAGTTACTGCCTCGGTAGCTTGATTTTGTGCACTTCAAACGAGACCTTTGTCAGATGTGCTATGGGCTGTAGTTCCAGACAGTCCAACAGCTTTTCCAACGGTTCCACTGCAGACCTAGCAACGATTTGACAAAGAAATACGGCCTGAAACAGGGTCGGCGACATGGGACAGTGACAAACTATTGGGAAGGCGCAGTATGCCTGCAGCCTGGTTCGCTTGCATAGGTGTGACCGTGAGGCAAGCGTGTGTGTGTGTGTGTGCGTGCGTGAGCGACCATGCGTGCCTGAGGTAATGTGTGACAACCCGATTCGGACAGTTTCCAATAAAGTTAGAGGCCAGAATCAACATAGGAAACTAAGTTCTACACTACGCATCCGGGTGACTAACTTGTGGGTGAGAGATTTGCAAGCAGAGGACTACATAATATACTCCTAAAACAGAAGGCATTATAAATGTGTCCACAACACAATAGACAGAAATGCCGTGTACGATAATATTGGTGCTGCACAGTACATCAGAGGCTTCATCGCGTCTTGATCAGTAGGATCGTGTCAGTAGGGCACACAATGAGACGCAGCGTGCCAGAGGGCTGTGAATGGATTTCCGTTCGCGTCACTTTCGTTTGAACAGCCCTGCGATGTGCTTGCGGACGCTCGAACGAAGTTGTGACCCCCGCCTTTTCTTGAGCTGCTGATGTCTCTTTGGATATTGGTCAGACGTTTGCGAACCAGCTACCAAAATCAGTGAACGGATCAGCAACCACCTGATCAATAGTCAATAAATGCACCCGAGCCATTACTGTTCCGATAAATTCACAACTTCACAACTTTGGGCAGTCTCGATGCTAAAGTTGACCACCAGCGAACAGGACGCCCACATAAGAGCCAGGAATTCTACAGCCAGTTCAC